ATTCAGAAACGATTTAAGTTTAAAACTGAATCGATATTTTTACTTTCAAGATACATTTTATGCACTTGGCTCTGGGCTTGGTGATCCCACACCAAGTCTTTACGTCACGCTTATTATATGAACACTCACAACACTCGTAAGGTTTCACGACACCCCCTCACTGCCCCCATGCACCCCGTCACTAAACTCGTAATGTGCAGAGAGTAATCGATCTATTCTATCTGGATAAATGAATTTTGGCTTTTATGACTCCTCCTATTTCGAAAAATCAAGCGTGACATGACACACATTAGCTTTTATATAGGTTAGATCAGTGTTTCTTAACCTTTTTTTGCTCGTGGCTCCCTTTTGAGTTTATCTCTGTGGCCCCACCCTTCGTAGACGCTGTTACTTAGGGAAGAAGTTACTTTATTTCCACACTGTTGATTTATAATATATTTATATTACTTTTATAGTACCGTATTCTTTTTAAATATTTTGTTTATAACATATTGTTTACTTATACAAGTAAAAATATTCTGTTAATCTTTGACATTTTATTCAGTGTGATCCTTGGGCCTGATGAACACTTGAAAGTTTTTGAATGTCCGGTTACAGTGTGGTCAGTGACAAGCAAAGATCTCCTCTCTTCACAACATCAAGGCGGTTACATATTTTTGATAGCAAATAAGTCACCCGACTAAAACCAGATAAGATGTGGGAAAAGCTATAAAATACAACTTTGCCTTCTCCTAGAGCTGTGGAAACTTATTAGCTATTTCACTATTTATCCAGAAATAATGTTTGTCACGTTTGAATCTAGCTTGGGCTGTTTTATCACTCTGCAGTTCGATGAGACATTCTTGTAATGCAATGTCAACATCAACCGCATTCACCCCAAATGGATCCACCACCCAATCCGTAATTTTGATTGTTACTCGAGTACTAGTCGCGTCTGGTAACTTGACTTCTGAGCTGTGGGGGATACGGGAAGAAGGGAACCTTTGATTCAATTTTAAATATTTTATTCGGGCAGTGAAGTTTCGGTGGCCCACTCAAAATTTACTGTGGCCCCCTAATTTTCCGTCAGTCTCGTGTCGCCCCTTAGAAACATGGCGTGGCCCCCTGGGGGGCCATATGGCCCACGTTGAGAACCACTGGGTTAGATGAACCATCGAAGACCACACTTCCTGGAACGTACTTTGCATTCTATTTTCAGGTGTCACGATTAGCTTTCATTAAGTGTGGTGAAAATTTCCAACGACAAATCGAAAAAAAATCATTATCACATGTCAGATATTATGCCTATTCTATGATTTTAAACTTGCTAACTCGACTCCATGATACAAAATATCAGACAGTAGTCATACCCAAACTCTGAAACAAAGTAAAAACAAAAAAAAACGTTCAAACAAGTTTCAATCTGTGCTAAAAGAGTACAGATTATCTCAAAATGGCTCCGATGATGATATGTTTTATACATCATAAGCTTATTTGTATTTTTCAGCCCGCTTTTGGATTCGAAAAGCATGGGCGTAAGCTAGGGATAAGAGGGGAGGGGGGCAAAGTTATACACCCGTATAGTTCCTAGCGTAAGACAGATGCAAGCCAAAAATTACCCAGCAAATATCATTACTGTAATTTAAATGTCACAAATGAATATGTTAAATTCTTCAATTAAAAGTAAAATTAATCATCGAAAAATTAGAGCAAAACTTGTCTTGCGTATAAAATCAGCAGTTGTTTTTTTCTATTTCATTAAAATAGAAAAAATAAACCATATTTGATATCATATTCATTAATCTTACAAACGTGTGTAAACTAATGTCAGAAATATTTTACAAAAAAGTAGTAAACAAAAGGGTTACAAGTGTTAACTGTTATGATTATTCAGAGAATCAAATTATTTGCAAATCTATTTTACGTGAAAAACATAAAAGCTTTGACCACCAATTATTTTAACTTTAAGGGTTAATGTTAACATGGTTATATACTAGTACACAGCAGTGATATATTAGTTTCAAAAATAATTTCAGTTTTGATTTCGTTCTGCTTGTTAATAGTAGTTTTAGTTTTGGTGTTTATGTATTTTTAGTTTTAGTTTCTATTTCGTTTTGCTTCTTAGTAATAGTTTCCGTTTTAATTACTCTGACAATTTACATCTTGTACTGTGAACAATATATTAATTAAATGAAAAGTAATAAAAATTTAATTTGTCGTTAGTTCCTTTCTTTGATAAAACGCAAGCTTACAAATGTACTAGTTAGCTATATTCCAGAGTCCAGACCATAACCACAACACTGATTATAGTTACTAGTGGCCAGACAGCTGAGATAAATATTTAAACTTACAATATACAACTTACAAAACAATTTTGAAAAATAACTTATAGTTACTAGTTCTCCATTATGATTGTGAGTACGTGACAAAAAGACGTACTCTGTGCTGACAGTTATGCCTTGTAATAAACTCGGTAACATTCACAGACTGACCCTTATTGCTCTTTCCAATACCATAAGAAAATCTAAAGCACTTGCCTTTGAAAGAAAATTAGTTGAAAGTTTTGAGATTTTTAATCTTTGTTCGTCATCATCTTGAAGAAACAGTTTTCGTTTCATTTAAGTAATACCTTTTCGTTTTCGTTAACGAAAATATCGCTGGTACACAGAACTTATTGTTAATTTAATAATTCGTTTCAGCTCACATTAACAATTTTAACTGGTAGTGGTAAGGGTAATCTAAAAATAACATCGCCCGGCTTTGCTTAGTTTTATAATTTTACAGAAGGGCCTCATGCACTTCTCTAAAGTAAAATACACTTACTGGCTTAGTATTTTACAGTTTAGTTTTATCATTAGACATTGAGTATAGTCAGGTCTATACTGTCTATCTCAATACTTTCTGAAACCTTTATTCAAAATAATAATAAAATATTCGTAACTGGATCGTTTTTCCAACAATTTTTGTTTTGCAATGATTTCTTCAAGTCCCAATAATAAATTATCATATAAAACCCTGTGTATACATATACATACAGAATAGCAGCCAGTTTAAATCATAAAAATACCCTAAGAATATACTTTGTTATGAGATTATAATAATATATTAATAATTTTGAGAAATTCTATAAATTGTAATACGTGTTAAGTCTGAGGCCTACGTTTATTCGATTAGAATTATAAAGATGTAACACGTTTACTAAGCATTATCGCTTTTATTTTCTCTTTTTTGAAAAGATAATAGATTAGTCTTATTCCCTCAAAATTAATAAGACAAAATGAAAGTCCCTTTTTAATATCTATTAATATTATTCATGTATCTTGAAAGTTGAAACAATGGAAATATCAAAATTGTGCTTAAACTCTAACTTCAGTTATTGTTAATGTTAGGTCAGCCATGATAATAAGTACGTCACTTACTTGCTACTACTAACACTATTAGTATTACAAACGAATTTCAAAATCTGTTTCCAGAAATTAGGTCACACTGTCTACTAGTACTAGTGTTTTTTCATTATTAGTATATTACTATTTCAATATTTATATACTCTGACGAAACCTACCTTTCTAGAACATTGCTGTTATGTATAACATAAAAACGTTATCATTGGCTTGCAAACAACGAAATCTTTACTGGCGTAATACTATCGTACGTATTTCTAGCAAATAAACAAAGCTTGAGATCAGAATAACAAGGCTCGTGACGTGACGTTACAACCTATCGCCTAAGCACTCTTCGAATACTAACACATACGTCAACTAAATATTCACATGATAATTGGCAAAGCCCGATCCTTAACATATCCCAACGTTTTGAAAAAAGCACCACCAATATTAATGTAGGCTATTCACTCTCTCACAGAAACCTTCTTCCTTCACTGAACTTTCCGATCGACAACACCAGTTTCTAATAAGCGTAAGATAGAGAAAGGCGCTAACAGTAAGAGTATAACTATAAGTTAGGTAACGCCATATCGATCTTCCACAGATAAAAAAAAACAACACAAATTTATAGGTATTCCTCAGAGAATATATTCCTTTCGAAAAGCAGTATGCTATTTCTTATGTTGTTGTTGAAAGTAAGCCTCTACCATATGATAAGAAATAGAACATACTACTCTCAACTCACGCCCTTTCAGTTCTAACTCTAATATACGACTGCGCTAAAACTAGACTGTTGGCCTACTGTCCCCAGTCGACTCCCGTCATTACGGGTTTTACAGAAGTGCGTGGCTCTGAGACGAGTATACTGTAGCATAGGGTAAGTAACTATCGATGGAAGATCGTGGGATGGGTGCGCATAATATCGTATTTGCAAACCTTGCTGACGGTCTCAACCTTTTCTCTGCGATATCCAGTGGTATTAGCAAGCCAGACACCACATGCACTTTCACCGTGATATTTCTATCCAAATTATTTCCAGCTTTCTAGCTGGCCATGCAGCGACTTCGTTGAGTGTGAAGGAAGTTTCATCAACAGAGGGCTTGCTTTCTGTATCGAAATGAAGACTGAATAGCACCACATGTGTTTCTGAAGATTGTTTCTGTTGGAAAAATGTTAGCGGAGTATTGTTATTCACAAACTCGAACTATTTTCACCGATACTGTGTCACTCTAATCGAAAATAATGCCTGGTTGCACGCTGGTACAATCGTCTGAACTTGGAAACGTTCCTTCGACATGCTTACTCCACTAACCGTAATAAACAACTCTCTACTATTAATCAGTAAAATAAGATCACTGACGTCATTTAACGAGCCTGGCGTACCTACCCCAAGTGGCCGAAACATTCCCCATATTTTATGTTTGGAGTACTATACCTGTACGTGTCATACATTTTTATACTCGTGTTTATAAACCATTAAGATGAGATAATTAATCTCGATATCAAATCTTGTGTTCATCTAATAATATTGTCGTAAACTACAATGTTGAGCGTAGTAATACAGTTAAAGTAAGCAGTATGTGGTGAGGATGACCTAATCTCATGAAAGCACAAAACAATCAAGTTCCAGTTTACGCTTAGTAGCCTAAAAATGACGTATCCTTGTTGCTATTGGTGCGTAGAAATATAAGCATTTACACAGAATGCCAGTTCATTAGCGATACTCGATAGAAAAAAAAAGAAAAATCTAGACAAAAGTGGAATTCAGAAAGATGATAAGTAAAGTTTATTCGTGTTTTTCCTCAACAAGAAATATATTTTTTTGTTCCACAACCTAGTACAGTTACATTTTGTCAATGTAATTTTCCATAGTAATGTTGTTTCTTAATTATACGAAAACACGGTCTTGAAAGCCCTGTATGTATGATAATAATTCCTCAGAATTTGTATATAATCCAGTTTTATTTCGTATTCAATGAGAGCACGAGACATTATCTACATACACACGGTACTCATCGGGTATATGTATGATATACACTACATATATATATGTTTCTATGAAGGATATTAGAAGCTGCCATTAATAAACATGAAAATGAAACTTAATCAACACCTGTCAGGCATTTCTTTCTGTAACGATTAGTTTAGAATATAACAAACTTGTGTAAAGGCATTTATTACTACATATTCATGTGGGTGTAGTAACACGTATGTATATAATTCATAAACAATTATAAATTCCAAAATAAAAGAGATGCTACTTTCAGCAGAAATGTGTTTACAAAAACCAAATTTCTTGCTGTTCAAAACTGTTCGTATGTTCTGGAAATGTACCTAAGGAGCTAACTGTAAAGGTTTCAAAGATTACGACTGGAAGCAGGTTCAGCATCAAGAGGGGGGGGGGATATTTGATTATAGCAAGTTTCCCTATTTGCAAGCGGAGTAGCAAATCGGGAAGCTGCGAAAGCAGTTTGGGTTATTTGAAGAGAAATGATATATTACAATCGAGGTTATAGAATATTCTTTATTATGCTATTTATATCATACATGTTTATATATCCACACGTAAGAGACAATGTGATTAGACTCGTCTCTTTTTACAGATACGTTCGTAGCATCTTTCTGAAGAAATGTGTTATTTGATATTTTGAACCAGAACGTAACGCGCCCACAACAGAAAATGCAAAGCCTGTTGAACGGCATATCGCGTATTCTGACCTTGTTGGACCTTGAGAACCGCAGCCCTGCACGCTAACTTCAATGTGACGCGCGACCCAAGTGAAATAAAATGTTCAAGCCAACTATTAAAATATCTGTGTTTATTATATTTTGTTTTAAACTATCCAAAGCTGTACAGTTTTGGCAAAAGAGTTAATAATACAAAAGATTCAATTTCAATTTACTTTGTATTAAGTTATAATTGTTAAATTTGAATATTTTACAATATTTTCAATGAATATTTATTACGTCAATATGGAACACTTATAGGCAAAGTAAACTGATTTATTAACGACAAAGTATTAAAATAAATCTTGAATGTTTATTTGCAAATGAATATAATAAAGATCTGTTTTAGCAAAAAACTACAAATAAGCCAGCTGCACTCTGTCCATCACGTGAAATTGAATCACGGGTTTTAGCATTGTAAGTCCACAAACTTATCCCTGACCCACTGAGGTCTGCCTTAAAGCAATGTGTTTGTGTGAATACATGAAGGCTTGTCGTGATCTGGGGGGTTACCATGTAGCACTGTGAATCCGGGCATCTATGGTTCGCGTCCCGTTGTCGCAAAAAACAAATTGTTCCCCGACACTTTGAGTGCGTGATTTTGTTATAAAAGAAAGATGGTCAAACCCCACTATTTGATTGGAATAGCCAAATAATGATAGGTGTTGTTGATTAACTGCCTTCCCTGTAGTCTATCGGTTCAAAATTCGGGGTGATGGGGGAGGCAGCTAGCGCAGATAGCCCTTATGTAGCTTTGCGTGAATATCCAAATTAACCTCTTGTATAAATACGCGTGCCCCCCAATGGCACAGCGGTACGTCTGCGGACTTACAACGCTAGAATCCGGGTTTCGATACCCGTGTTGGGCAGAGCGCAGATAGCCTATTGTGTAGCTTTATGCTTAATTACATACAAACAAAAATAAATACTTGTATGTATGAGAAAGGTTAATAACGTTTGAAACGAATGATTTTTTGCTTATGCTGATACAGTGGCGTGGCGTCGTAGATGTAGATGCGAGCCCTGGCGTCATGGGCGATAGTTTTAGCAGCTATATAATTGATTTGTGGCGATTTCCCGACTAATCGACAACTGAAATCTGTCAAGAGAGCTTAATGTCTCGGAAATTCTGACACAGCCATTTCTGAGGAATGACACTGTATAAAGGAATAACAAAGAGATGCAAAGCTCGGATAGAATTTTTCCAAGACCATTCTTAGTGATACTGTGGTCATAGCATTGACTGAGAAGGAAGAGGGACACACTGAAAAAAAGGATCGAAACAGCATTCCACAATATGCAGGACTACGATTTCGAAAGTTTGCAGATTGATCCTTAAGGAACCCCCTTCCCCACCAAGAAAGTGTTTGTACTTATCCTCAAGCGTGCACAGTATAATTCAAAAATACCTAGTCCTTGTAAAGACACATAAACCACCGATATATAAGCTTCTCCATTGTCTGGGTTTTTGTTAATACACAATGGAATATCTGTTGTTTGCCCACCACAGGTATCGAAACCTAACTTTTAGCATCGTAAGCCTACAGACTTACCGCTGAGCCACTATGGGGGATGGGGGGCAGCTTCAGCATAGACACATGAAAACGACAAACTGTAAAAAAAAACTGTAATTAATAAAAAAAATACTTTGCATGAAAGGTATGGAGGTTTCTTTAAGTCTTGGTATAAACGACAAGAAATATAATTTTTGTTACTGTACACAAGGAGGTAAGGACTTTTCAGTGTTACTGTCCAAAAAGAGACGTTAGACTTTTCAACATAATACAGAGAATACACAGGAAGTTATCGACATCTTTTTGTGGTTCAGCGTTTTTCTCACATAATGGGAAAAGCAAACTTCACAAAGTGCTGCACGGTAAAACAAAGGTGAACTGTAGTTACTGTCAGAAAAACAAAGGTGAACTGTAGTTACTGTCACGTAAAACAAAAATGAACTGTAGTTACTGTCAGAAAAACAAAGGTGAACTGTTGTTGCCGTCAGGAAAAACAAAGGTAAATTCTAGTTACTGTCAGGTAAAAGAAAGGTGAACTGTAATTGCTGTCAGGAAAACAAAGGTAAATTCTAGTTACTGTCAGGTAAAAGAAAGGTGAACTGTAGTTACTCTCAGGAAAACAAAGGTAAATTCTAGTTACTGTCAGGTAAAAGAAAGGTGAACTGTAGTTACTGTCAGGTAAAAGAAAGGTGAACTGTAGTTATTGTCAGGTAAACAAAGGTGAACTGTAGTTGCTGTCAGGAAAAACAAAGGTAAATTCTAGTTACTGTCAGGTAAAACAAAGGTGAACTCTAGATACTGTTAGTAGAATGCATTGACACCATTTATTCGAGATAAAATTCCTCTATTGTGTGGTCAGATGTACATCGGGATAAACTGAAACCCACAGCAGCATTTCTGCGAACCTTGGATAGTGAAACTTGTTTATTATAATATAACTTTCTCAAACATATTTCGTACCTATGGAATTCTGTGTATTTGGTTTGCTAAAAAGTATTAATGGAGGTTTTGTAGACAGTCAGTCAAGATGTGTAGTCGAAAACTGACCTCTCATCCTTCACAAATGCTTGATGCAATGGAAATTACGATGTTGGTCAATAGTGCGTAACCACGGCCATCAAGCTGAGCACGATTGATGGTGTAAAAAGTAGTTCCAAGAGCAGCACGAGGTTTGGAATATCGTTCTTGTAATTGTTCTACACACATGCACATACACACGCATACAGGGTGATCCCAAAGTAAGAATTCCCAGAGTAGTATACTAATACATTGTAATTTTTACCTGTTTCAGATTCATTTATGTATGTTAACCATTGCAAACAGACTGATAAAAGACCAACGAGTTGTAGAGCTGCTGTTATCTACATAGAAGAGGTTTAAATGTTAAGAAACTGACTTTCTGGCCATCCTGTATGGATATGTGTATGAGTTATTTGTGTGTTATCCCATCATTCATTCAACATAGTGAGTATACGTATCTCATACAAATCAAATGGGCAACATTGCTACGCTATAACAGTAATCAGACAAGGATACATGTACTATGCCATACATATTTATACAGAACAGCAATAACACGTGGAACAATCACTTACTCGTAAACAAATATACTCATATACATATTGTTGTAGGATATGTTTTTAACATATTAATTTAGAAGTTATATATTGTTTGGTAGAGGGAGTTTTGGCATGACATAGTAATGACGTTTTATGCCTATGAATTTCTTAAATGTCTATATTTAATGTAAAGTCTCGAATTTGCGAAAGTTTTTTTTTATGGGGGGGGGGGAATATTGTATGAAAATACTTGAATGAACGAGTTAATCAGTCAGTCAGTTGATTAGTTACCGTGTCATTGATTGACTACTGAGTGTAATAGTCAGCTAGTTTGAGTTCTGTCATTGATAGGAAAGGAAATTTGATATGTCTATCAACGAACCTAACCTGTAGAACTTGTAAGTTACAGTCAAAGAAATAAATCGCTTTCGTTGTCGTTAAGTGCACTGGACTTTGCATAATTTTTTTACCGAATAATCAAAAAGAACTCGCCCAAC